TTTAATCAGCCTGCTATTCATGCTGTTTCCTCTGAGCTGAGAGCAAAGCTGTTCAAAAGTGGATTTCAGTCATGTCCCTCAAGTAAAGGGGCTTCTCTGAATAATCTTTTAATCAATTTGTTAACAGTAGAAGATTAAATCAGGAGCTTCTTTTAAAATGTATCATGAGAAATGCTCTTGGATATCCGAACTGTTCCTCCACAGGCAGCTGAACACTTCACCGCTCCAACAACTTAAAGACAAATCCTCCCTGGAACACACTGTTTACTCTCACTCTTGTTATTGATTCACAAAACAGAGAAGACATTTTTACTTGTCACAGTAATAAAACCAAGTTTCATTTAGGCTTTATCGGCTTTATCAAGTGTCCCTGTGAGCCATGCTCGCCAGCGTGCACAATACTAATGGTCGACAGACACACACAGATGGGATGCAGCAATTTTTAAACGTTATCAGAGGTGTTTTAACGGTTTTCCTCTGAAAAAGGTCTGCCAGCCCCGCTCGAGGGGGAGCGCTCTTATTGTGAAGTGGAAACATCTGGGAAGCGCTGTTAAGCTAAGCTAAGCTCACAGACTGAACAGGAAAATGGAAAAGCTACACCTCATAAATGGGAGTACATTCTCGGAGTAGGTTGTCGTGACTGTGGAACTGAATCGGTAACAAACTGATTATTGATAAATCGTTTTGGTCGCAGGAACTGAAGACCTCACAGATCCACATGGGAGCAGGGAGAGTCATCTGAACCTGCATAAAAACCACTAATGACTCATTCTTCTTTAACAGCTTCTGTGCTCACTCAAATTAAGTGAGTGGTTTTGAATTAATCTGTCATTACTTCACTCTTGTCCTGCTTTTATCGGCTCTCCTGAGTTAGACCAACTGGCTGATCGAAGGGAGCTTGGGCCATCAGTGAAATGGTTGCAGCAGAGTCTCAGAACGGGAACGATTTAAGGCTCCAGCATCAGGCGACCGCTCATTACTGCCTCCAACCAGCTGCGGTTTATTCCCAGTTTCTACTGTTTTAAAGAAAGATTTTAAAGGCCAACATGTCTGAATACGCGTGACCATTATCATTTAGCTACAAAACGCCTTGAGGGGTTTTAATTCCTGTCACGTAAAGTTCAAAATCTCCACTGGGTTTAAATGGATTTTTCTCCCCTGGACAAAATAAAAATCTCAATAAGAATGCAAATAAACCGTGTCGATTTCCACTTTTTTATTTTATTTGTAAGGAGAGAGTCTGCTTTGATAGAGTGAAACGCATTTTAGGCGTGTGAAAATCTGTTAACGGTAATGAGTTGAGTTCAGTTTGCTCTGTAACCACCCAAGTCTGACACCTTTAATGCTACACCGTGCTGTTACACTGTTTTGGGCTGTGCTTCCTCAGCTTTTTTTTAATAGAACACACACTCACGCTCACACACAACACACATCTTCTGGAAGTCTTTTTTCTCCATTTCTTTTAGCGGACACCTAAAAACAGGAACTCCCTGCCACTAACTAAATTCAAAACACAACCTGACACATGATGAAGGCGATTCCTCTCTGTTTAAAAAGCACATCCGCTCTGTGCTCAGCTTCCGGTTGGGCTGTGGGAGAATGAGGAGGATGGAGAGGTGAGGGAGCAAAGCGTGCAGGTATGTTTTATTGATCAAGCACAAGATGGAAGAAAGCCGGTGAACACGGGAGTGAATAATGCATGAGGCGAGGAGGGAGGAAACAGAGATCTGCCAAAGTGGTGAGGTGAGTTTGAGAAGCAGCAGAGGGATGAGAGCTGGAGCTGGAGTTTGGAGAGGACTTGTTGTGATGTTTACAGCCTCGGCTCTCAGCTGAAGGAGCCAACAAGACATTTTATACTTGTTTTAGAATTGATGCTCATGCTTGAGAGAGCCTGGCAGTCGTTTGCAGGTTGTTAAACTGATTTGAAATGTGTCCCGTCTTTGTAACTAGCCTGACACAACGGGGACCTCCATCCATTATCGATAGAGACAAACACGCTGAACGAGACTTTGCCACAACATGAAAAAGTTGTTTACCTATTTGAGATCATTACCCATATTTATGATCATTTGCACATCTTTCTGATTGTCTCTTTGTTGGTATTTTGCAGCGCAATCAAATCAATGCTGGTGTTTTCCCTTATTTTAATGGTTTAGACCTCCTTGTGGCACATTTTGCATCAGATTTGCATTTCTTGACAACAATGTTGCTTTTCTGTGCTTGTATTGCGTCATATTTCAGTCATTTAGCTCTTCACCATTCTTTTTCATCTCTTTGTGCTCATTTTTTTCTCCCCCTCTATCTGCAGTCATTTTGTGCCTTATTTTGTTCATATTGTGCTTCGTCAATGGAGTTCTGCAGGCTGAGAAGAACTTGAAAAAAGACTGACTCCATTAGTGCTGCTCAGTAATATATTCACACTCAGATTGTATTGTCTTGAAACCTAAACTTGGACATGCAAGTACCTTACTTTCCATTTTTTTCTCCTTCCATTTGCTTTTCAGCTCTTTAACGTTCAAAGATCTTTTTGATGCTGTTGCAAGATCACAGTAACTAAGCTGTTAGTGGCACTAAAAAGCAGGGAATTCAACAAATTATGGCTCTTTTCATAGAAGTATTATTTCTTCTAATCTCTCCAAGAAAATCGAGAGTCTCATGTTTATTTGTTGCTTTACAAAGCTGGAGATCCTGTGCTGGAAAGCTTCAGGCATAAAACGGACTGATTTCTTCATAAGAATACTTAAGATGTCATATTTGAGGAATGGTGGAAGAATTACATCTGAATAAAATCCTCAAACCAATCTGTGAAAAGCTAGTGGGATTAGAAATGATATCGGTGTGGAATTTTAAAAATTGGATCTGATCTTGGAGGATTTTTGTTGTGCTTGATAAGTCTTTTAAAAACAGCAAAAAAATCCGCCTTCCAGTGTTCTAACACATCAGCATCTGAGATTTGTCTATTTCCAAAAATAGAAAGATTTCTACATTCATCTACAAGTTAAACGGAATACATCCAGCTGTGATGCAGCAGGATGATCAGTCCCTTTGTATACTGGCACATGTAGAATTTTTCATAGAACTGACTAAATTTGCATGTCTTTGACACTGTGTGAGTGATGCTGAAGCATTTTCTCTTTGGTTTGGGTTCAGTAAAAACTGAGAGTAATAAAAGCATTTGTTAAAACATGATGTAAGGTGCTAAGCCTTGATTTGACACAAGGTAGACGTGTGACTGAGAGTGTAAAAAACTGTCATTGTAAAACAAAAAGTGAGAAAAGTCAGGACTTAATTCAGCCTGGAGCATCAGATCAACACACAGCCCACGCTGTCGCCACACACAGAGCATGGCACCTCTGCATCAGTCTCAAGATAAAGCTAAAGGCTTTAGCTGGCTTATTGTGTTCATTTTTTAAACATAGAAATCTTAGGATTTGGTCAGTTCTATTTGGATTTGTTAACAAATCTCTAAGTTAAAAAACAATTATTGTGTTTGAGTGAAAAACTTGAACAAAAGTGAAGGTTTTGTAGAACATCTTATTTTCAAATTCAGGCATTATTCTCACTTGAAGGCTAAGGTTAAATTGTGGTGCCCAGATTTCGGCCCCAACCTCAGATCGCCCAATATATGTATGAGAAAAGTACAGTTGAGCGTTCTGCAGGACAGCCACAGACATGTTGGTTAAGCTAGTTAACAAGAAACAAGAGGAATAATGAAGAGAACTTTCCACATGAACAAAAGTTAGAGATTAAACCAGAAGCCCTAAAATAATTTTATCAAATGGCTAAATTGGCACTTATAGGTAAAATAGGGAGAGGAGGCAGTTGCGGTTGGACCAGGGGTGGAGGGGAGGTGACGAGAGCACAGGCTGACGGGGACTAAACTGGATTACACATTTAGGATTATTGAAATTTAACAGAGTAGTTATTGAAAGGTTTCTCAAGATGAAAGATCACCATTCAAGAACTAAACAACACTGCTGAGTCATTCTTTGTTTGTTATGTCAAGTTAGCTCATTTTTGCTATTTCATGTGGCTCATTTAACACACACACACACACACACACACACACACACACACACACGCACACACACACACACACACACACACACACACACACGCACACACGCACACACGCACACACGCACACACGCACACACACACACACACACACACACACACACACACACACACACACACACACGCTATTGTGTTTGTGTGCTCACTGCTGCTGCGCCCACCTAATTTATGTCAGAGAAGTCATTGAATGTATTCCCTACAGATTACAATTTCTCCTCCTGACTTCCAGCGGCTGTGTTTTGAAATGTTTCCACCGATTTGATTGCTTTGGGACTTTTACTCTATGAGGTCCAGATAGTTAAAGAACATAAAACGATCGAAGCAGCTGAAAGAAACTGAACAAATGCAGGAAAGGCTCCAGCACCTGCAGTACTTGGACTTCAAACTGCAGCAGAGAAAAAACACTAAGCCTTTTCTTTCCCATGAGGCATTTTAAGCAAAGTGTGTCTCTTGTGTATTCACTTCCTGAATCATTCTTGATGGGTTAAGATAGGAAAAAAAAAAACTTTAGAAGTCCAAAAAATGCCAGAGGAGACATCAAAGACTGCAGATGAGTCTTTGTCATTGTAGTTCTGATTGGTGCTAGAAGGGAAATTGCCCCAGGCCAGTCTCAAGGCTCAGCCTCTGCACAGTTCATTTAAATTCCTCCAACAGAATCTAAGTGCGATTCTAATGTCCCATGTAAATGCAGCTACTAAAAAAGCCAGAACTTCAGAGTACATGCTTAGCTGCATTAATGCCTGATTAGTTCTGTGACACAAAATACTTTAGTCAGTCCTGTGTGTCTCAGCTGAGGGCCTAAACGAACTATTTTAATGACAGTTTCCAGGAAACTTCCATTATTCCTCAGCCTTTTTTCCAGACATAAGTACTGCAGGATTACTCACTAAAGCCCTCTTCAGTGAAAAACAACATGACGTCTGTTGAGTTGTCGAGCCAAAACATTTAATACACATCATCGCCGGAGACATGCACTTGCAGCACTTCACACTGTGCACTCCTCTCAACTCTAGCTCCTATTCTGAAAACACATAAAAACTCGAAAATAATTTAAAACAAAAACACATATTTGAAAAATGATTACACAGATGGATTCTTTTTACATGTTTGTAATACTGCTTCATAAAATATATATGTATATATATTTATATATATCACAGAAATCAGCTTTAAACACAGAGCAAATCATATGAGGAATTACATCGACACTGTGCCGGCTGGTAGTTAGCAGAAAAACTGTGAACTGGTGGCATCCGAGAGCAAAAGTCACAGAGAGGACAAGCAGTGGAAAAAGAGTTTGTCAATGTAGGAGAAGGAGGAGCAGGAGGGAGGGTAAGGGGGTCTATTTACGTCTCTCTGTGATGAGAAACAATCCAAGTTCTCTGAAGGTCAGAGGGGTCGACCGCTAGGCGTAGAAAGTCTCCACTTTCACTGCCTGGCAGAACATTGTCATGGAGAAAACCAGACCCAGGATCTGCAGAAACATAAGAAACAAATCAAAAGTTATCGGGATCCAATGTTCCTGTGGAACATCTCTGTGAAATTAAAAGGAGCTCTGCGGCTCAATTTCTGCATCATAATGTACCTGTTTGACCATAAATCCCAAAAAGATCCATTTTCTGAGGCTATTATATCCAAAACCCATCTCTTTGAATATGAGGAGAATCCGACCACATCTCTCTGCTGCTGTTATTGATTAAATATAGCAGATTTTAAAAAATGTTTTTTCAAACATTGAATCTAAGTTTCAGCTTCCCCAGAGAATCTGAAAAACCAAATAAACTTATTTTTTTCAACACATTGGAAGTAGCCTCTAGTGTGAATGGGTGCCTTGTTAGTGGATCTTGGGTGTGGAAAAAAGGTCTGGCATTCCTGGAAGTAGAGAGGTGAGCAGAAGACAGCAGGTTTGGTGTCTTATTTCCTGATATTTGGAAATCAAACCTCTGATTGGCTAACAGCAACGGACTTCTACCAAAGACTCAGTTTGCTCTGCAAAGCCGATGCTTTGTCTCCACAGGTAACACAAACCTGAAGGAGTTCTGCTGTGTGGTGGAGTTGCTAATACTAGCGGTTACCTTCTGCTAGCTGAGATGTGCTCTGCTCTCTCCTGAATGCTAAATAAACAATAACCTTCCCCATCATGAGTGGGTGAATCCTTGAATGCTAATATGACATTATGACGAGCAAATGCCACTGGCTTTTCTAATCTGAGCGTTTCATCATCTATTTTCTATCAGCGTGCCTTTAGCCTGGATGCTAAACTCAGAGGGACTGATCAAAATAAAAAAAACATTTAAAAATGGTTTCTCAGTGAACTTGGCCTTTAACATTAGATTTCTTGAGTGTTATAGTGTTGTGTTTGTTTAATATTATTTACTATTGCTATAATTGCATTTAGCTTTAATATTATTTACTATTGCTATAATTGCATTTAGCTACTAGTTACATTTAGTTACTAGCTCTTTAAAGATGTGGTCCACTCATTTAATCAATACATTTGCAGTGGTCTCTCGAAAGAATGAATGCCTTGTAATTCGTACTCTGGTGAAAAAAAGCATCAGTGCCCATCTCAGGAACTAGAAGTGAGCCACATCAGAGCTGAGCTTCAGATAACAGGATTTAGAGAGTATTTCCTTTCTTTGTAGTCTTATTTGGACATCTGGCCTTAAAATGGAGACCAGCAACACAACTCTATTGCTGACTGTTTGCTCCGCAGCGCTGATATTTTATCTCCACAAATAACTCAGGCTTGAAGAAGTTCTGCTGTGTTTCTAATGCTAACGGTTAGCTTCTACTAGCTGAGACGATCTCCGCTGTTTGCTGGACGCTAAACCGACAACAGCCTTCCCCGTCATGAGTCCAGATGGGTGAGTCCATGAATGTAAAGTGACAGTGTGATGTAGATCTGTCAGGATTTTCAAATCCTGGAGTTTCACCATCTATTTTCTACCAGAAGCTAATGCAGGAGATAGACAGAAGACAATTTTTACGTTCAGGCTGCACGAAAAACTATTTATATTATTAAATAATAATTAAAAACTGTTTTTACAGTGAACCACACCTTTACAGTTACATGTTTCCCTCTAGCTGTTTTTATAGGACCATAGCTCCTCCTGGGGAGGATTTTGGCTTTTATAGTAGCAAAGCTGATGCTAGAATAAACTGCCATCAGGCACCTCTCCAACCAAGACGGGATATAGGGAGGTCGCCGTGACTAATGCGACCACCCTCTTTTGCGGGGGCCTCCCATAGTCGCTCCAAAGGGATTAGCGGGGTTGACATGCGTTTAGCCATCAGAGGCGAGGGGCTGATGTGGCAATATTACTACCAAGCGAGGCAGAACAAATGCCGCAATATTTCGCGCAACACCATGCCGGTGTCGGTACAGTATCTGCTCGGGTGCAAGATCGGCTCGGGGTCCTTCGACTGTCGATGACGTCAAACTACGGCAAACCCACTCGGACAAAATACACTACACATCGATACTGTTGGAAAGAATTTAGCAGTTTCGTTATTAAAATAATGTTTCTTAAGACGTAAGTTTGTGTTTATAATAGTATTTGTAAAATAAAACACTATATTTGATTCATGTTGAACTCCTCTTTGAGCACATCCCTTGAAGGATCATAGGTATTAGCAACACCTGTGAAATTGTATTTGCAGGAAAGAAGTGTGTCCCGTTTATTGAAGTATTTGTGTTGAGTTTTTGACGTCTTGTCCATGCGTATTACGCTCATAGCTGCTAGCCAAAGCTCTGGAGTTAAAAGTTTTCTGGCTTTACTAAAATACCTGTCTGTACTTATTTGATTGATGGTAGTTTTACTTTCTATTAGACTCCAAATGTAATCATTTGGCACGTTTCTAATTCATAATTTGTAATAATGTAATCAGCGATATTAGCATTAGCGTTCCTATGGGTTTTTCCATGTATATTAGCATTACGCTAACCACTCGCTGCCAAATTGCAGCCTTTGCCATTAGAAAATCTCCTTTCGTCACATCGCAATTTAATTGCACATGCAGTTAATCGTTCAGCCCTAATATACATGCAGCTCTATGCTAAAAGTGTATTTTCAAAGAGGTAATGATGGATTTCTTTGTAAAAGTTGTCCATCTTTCCAATAGAAAAAATTTGCCTGGACCAACGTCACGTGATAACAACGTTACGTGATTACGTAATTCTGTAAGGTTCATGTTCAGCCAATCAACTACTTAGACGTCATCGGCAGTCGACGGACCCGAGCCGTACTTGCACCCGAGCAGATCTTGTACCGACACCGGCATGGCGCGTTTATAGACATACCATTGCGGTAATATTACGCTGATGTGCTGGCATGGTGTGTCTTATAAAAGCACCTTAAGTGTTTCTAGTATTTTGTCTCATCGTCAGGTTCTACTGTTTAACTGCTTCCTGTGCTTCTGCTTCCCTTGTTTATTCCCCACATGGCCCTGTTTCTCTTTGGTTTCTGTTATATTTTTGCTGCTGCTAATCACCATCGGATACAACTTCTTGAAGAACAGAGGATTGTCAGTGCATGGTTTATTTTGTTGAGGCTTCAACTAGCACCCCTGCGGATTAATAGGCTAACTAAGCATCATCTTTCAATGGCCCCATGACCCTGTGAAGTTCAGATGCTTTATTGTGCTGTTTTCTGAAGAAATGGAACAACTAAATCATTCTTTTTCCAATGAGCTGTAAATATAGATTTGAACTGAACATGTTAAAAGTGGATTTAATAAATAATAGTTTCAGATGTAAAACTTTTCACAAAAGTGTTTATATTGTTGGAAAAAACACAAAGTTATTAATTGAATAAATTATTAGAAATGTGTAATGATAAATGTTCTTAGTGCTTAAGAAACATGCAGAAAACCAGAGGAAGTACAAAAAGAGCATACAATGGCACACTTTGGGAACATTTGGGTTTTCATTTGATGTAAAATGCAGGTGAGAACTTTCCCTCCTGTTATTCCTGAGGCGAATATCGTAAAATATGGTCAAAGTGCTACCACACAGCCAAATATTTCCTTACTTAATCTTCACTGTCACAAAGAAAAGACCAAACATAACAGATACAATCAGTGAGGCAAAACCAATGCAGATGAACTGGTTTGGTTTCATCTGCCTCCATATCCCCACTGTGGGTCCACACTAAATGTGACATTGTGACATTTAGTTTATGTGAAGTCAACTGAAGCCACTATTTGAAGCTCCAATGGGAAATCTGCAAAACAAGTTAGCTTTTGAATTCCCGCCCCTCCTGTTAACTATCCTCCTGAGGCCACATCCTTTGATGTGAGAGCGCTCATTGCCAGAGTAAACAAGTTATTAGTTGGCCAGTTAAAGCACTAAATGCCAGTCGCCATTTTCTATGTCCAAACATCTCTTGTTGTCCATGACTTCAAATTGTGTTTTTCTTTTTGGGACGCTGGTGGTAAGTGGTAGCAGCCGGCTGTTTCTCCTTCTTTGATAATATTGAGCGGAGAACTCTCCTATCAGTGGTGTTCTGTTGAAAAGGATGCAAATGTGTAATGGTTGGAGGACCAAGGGAAGTACGGTGGTTCGGTGGTTTTGGTTTTTGGCTGAGGTTTTTAGACATAAGCTAGAGAACCACTTTATATTATTATTATTATTATTATTGCTTTATTCTTTAACTTCCATAATATATTTATAGCTATACTATAAAGCTGTTAAGAGACATGAAAAAATAGTTTAAGTAGCTTGATTGGCTAATGTGCTAATGTAGCTCCAACTTCCACCAATTTGAAATCTGTCAATTTGCTTTTTAACACAAAAAGTTTCTTGTTTTTGTTATTAATTCATTTTCAGATTTTATGTAAGCATCTCAATTAAACAGCTTTAGTTTGTTATGGAGCTGATTAAATAAAAAAATTGCCACATTATTTTTTTTTTACATTTATGTCATGCAACAAGATCACAATGTCTCATAACTAATAAAAGGTGTAAACCAGTACCCATGTTCTTAAAGGGGCATTATGGAAGTTTGACAGCCAAAACATGTATAGAAATAATAAATTTCTTCTTCATACATTCTCCTGCAAAGCCCTGGCCCTGTAGAATGAGCCCTGGCATTTTTACTGTGATTGCCTGTTTTTCTGTAAAATCACAGAAAAAGAGAGCAGCTCGGGTCGAGCAGGCTGCTTCATGCGTGTTCACGCTCAGGCATAGCCCGTAGCATTTGCTATCAGTAGCTTTAGCAGCAGAGAGAGGTAGTGCCAACTCAGCGACTTTGTCGCTGTTCCTAACGCCTAGTGATGAACCTAGCTACATTTCTGAGGACCCTTAGCTACTTTCTTCTAGATATTTCCTGCAAATTAGCAACAAAATAGCCATTTTCACTCCGAACCGTGCTTTGGACGTTTTCAGCTGTCATCAAGAATATAAATATTACAGATACAAAAGACATCACTGGTGCTATAGCTCACCTAGTAAGACAGCAGACTCTCGTGCGGAAAACCCGGGTTTGGTTCTGGATGTGACCATGATTTATTCAGAGTTTATTTTTTACATTAATGGTATATTTTTTACAGTAAGATGCCCAAATTTTTATTTGAGACTCGCCGAACGGCTTTGAACTCACAGATAAAAAAGATGTGGGTTCAACTTTCATTTTGGAACAGTTTCAAGCAGGGGAAGGGAATGATCTGAGCATGCAGGAGGACTGACCCATCATAAACCTTTGTCGGCTGTGCTGAAGAGAAAGGTACAGAACCAAATTATTTAATTAATTAGCTGCGCGTTCTCCTGTCTGTCCTCCGGGCCACACACACACACACACACACACACACACACACACACACACACACACACACACACACACACACACACACACACACACACACACACACACACACACACGGGACTGTCTCAGCTGTTATTTTCGTTAAGGAGTGTGCACCTACAGCATGCGTGCCTCGGGCACAAGCCTACTATTGACGCTGCCGTTACACTTTTGGCCTGAGGGGGCAATCGCGAGCATAAAAATTCAAAACTGTAAAGTCCCTTTAAATTCCCAACTCTTTCTTCTACATAAATGTAACAATACAAAATTAATGAACGAATTCTTGTGCTAAAACCTTTTAAAAACCTTTGTAATGTGGTTCTGCAGCCAGCATAATTACCAACAACATGTTTATCACTGCACAAGTGAGACAGATTTCTAAAGAGCTGCAACATGAGTGAATGTGTTTGAATGGGTTAATCTGAAACATTATAAATCACTTGACTGCAGACTTCATTATTAACTGTATGAAGTAACGGAATTTAAATTAAGGTAATGGGGATATAGAAACATATGGATATAGTAAAGAAATAACTAAGAATGAATTGTATATCTAACATCTCTGTAGTTTCAGAATCCTTGCAGAACAATATGAGAAGAAAGTTTATTTATGAGCTACTTTATCATACTTGAATATATAAGTTACATCACAGCAGGAAAGGGAGAACGAGCAAGTTTTAAACCCGTGCAAAGTTTCTATTCTGTAACATAAATTACACCAGATTTTCTTATGACTTGCATTGGTGAAAAAGTATAAAGTAGCATAGAAGCAACCTTATGCATTTGGGACTTAAATTCATATCAGACAGCTGATTGTTCTGGGTATAAACAGCCAACTGAGGGAGGCCCGCAGTGTTCGACAGCAGGATGTCGACAGCAGAAGCTTTGCATCCTGTGGGGTGGAGCAGCTGCTTATTTGAGTTTTTTTCCAGCATATTTTTTGGGATGCTGGATCACATTGGGTTCTGAGGTGTCTGGATGCTGGGTCAATACTTTAAGCTCTGTTTTCGTATTCTTCATGCTGCTTGAACAGTTTTAGCAGAGTGGTGAAACACTGTCCTGCTGTGGGAAGCTGAGCGTTGCTTCTGTTAGGGTCCCTTTAACTGGAACACTCATTTGGGCAGGTGATACATGTGAAAGTAACGGCCACACACATCCAGTTTCCTGTAGAAGCCTGCTTTGCCACAACATCATCAGCCTTTACCTGCTTGGTTGGTACTCACTTTAAAGTAATGCAGTAATGCATTACTCTGGGTCTAGTGGTCAGAAGGGCTGAGACTCCAGACAAGGTGAACCTTCAATGAGAAGTCTGGTGTATAAATGGGCGAAGGACAAAAACATCCTTTCCAAAACTGCAGCAATCGATTGCTTAGCAGTTGAATAAAAATGGTATGAAAATGCTAATGCAGGCACAAATCATTTATGCACAAACACAGAGCTTTAAAATTTAAACAACTCAGTGTGGCGGGTGGTCTGAGTGTCTATGTGTAAATAAATTCATGAACAGCCTTGCACTAAGAGTGCCTCAAGGGTTTTTTGGGCTCATAATAAACATTTGCTTCATTTACTGAATTGCCCACAAACATTTGATTTCAATAACCTTTCTTAAGCAAGCTGTGTTTAACCTGCTACCTTACATTCTCATTTATCATTCCACAGCTTTAACATTTTCTTCTAGCGTCTTCATAATTACCCTCATTAGGCTTAGTGTGAGAGAAATCCTAATGAAACTCTGGATACAACAACAAATGGTTTTCTATTTCCAACATCTTAGACAGCTCTGGCAGAATTACAAAGGTGTTCAGAAATTCAGCTTTTCTCCTTCCAACAAAGTAACCCGATATTTGGATACCCTAAAAGTTTTATAATGCCATAAACAAACCTTTTGCACATGATTTAAATATATTTAAGCTTAACAGATGTGATTTGAGGTAAAAATGATCAGTGGTGGCTTGTCCAGAGGACATACAGGACGCTGACCTCCCTGACATGGAGGAAAAAAAAGCTAAAACATTTAAAAAATGTACATAAGTTTACAATAAATGTGTTAGTTTTGCGTAATTGTGTGTGCCTACATGCTATCTGAATCATTTATGCACCATTTTGACCAGGTGACTCTTATTAAACTGTGAAGTTCCTCCAATTGACTCACAAATATCACTTCTGAGTTACTGGAAAAAAGAGCCCCTGAGCTGCGGCCTAACAACCAATCACGTTTGGTTTCTAAGCAGAGCTGGGGAATTTTGGACTAATCAGCATCACTCAAAGTTATTATCTCCGGGGCACGGACCTATAGAGAGCCTGTGTCCTCCCCTTCAGGTCAGCTAATGGGTCTCCAGAACAAAGAAAAAAATTAATATAAGTGAGCTATTTTCTGATCTGTTTTGCCTTATGCCCTGAATTACACATATGTTGTACTTCAATTAAAAAGGTAAATAATTATGTGATTTGACTATGTCTGTTAGGCAATTTGAGATTGATTTCCTTATAAAAATCCTCGATTAAAATGACAACAAATCAGACGTTACATATATGACGTCAGCACAGAGTCTCTTCTCCCCAGCGTAGCTGCTACTCACCACATGGCCAGATTTATAGTGGTTTTCTTCATGTTGAGTGCTCCTTCTTTCATCCTGGAAGAAGGATGTGAAGCTTGCTAAATTCATTTTTTTCTTATTCTTTGCCTTCTCTGGTATGATGACGTAAATTTGGTGAGACGAGCAGTTGGAGTCGTCAATGTGTTTTCACAAAAAAAACTAAGTAACTTTTTTCACCTGTCAAAAATAAAGGCTTTCTTAGCATCAAAATATGTATTTTTTAGTATTTTTATAGGGTAATTTATCTGTAAATTTGATCATTGACTTTATCTGTAAAACTGAATATTTGAAGAAGAGAAATAAGCAATTTTATGGCATCATTTGGAATAGTAGTAATTTACAACTGTTCCTTTGAATACTCATACTGAATTAAGATCTTTTCACAGCCCTGCCAAAAGTTGTTCTTCACGAGCCGTCACTGAAAACAATGTTTACCTTTTCACAACCTAATCCAACCAAGCAAACAGTTTTTCCTCATAATAATCCAGAGTTAAAAATTTTTACCAGAGAAATTAATCTTTTTAATGTTGCAGGAGATCTATTATGATGACTTTCTTTTTAAAAAAGATGTAATTGTCCTGTGGTCAATACAGAACATGATTAAGGAGTTCTTTGCATAAAATCCCTCTCACATGAAGTGATTTCAGCAGTTTTATTCTTGGCAGTTTTGGTACCTTCCAGAATGAGCCATTTCAGGGCTCTGCCACACCCACCCATCCCTCACTCAGGCTACTACAAGCCGAGAAGCTCCACTATTATAGGAGCAGCTTCTCAAGCCTGGAAATATGAAAAAACAGGCTCTATGCAAATTTCCCCATATGTGACGTAACTCCTGAGCCAAAGATGGACTATTTTTTCACATTTGGAGTGTTTATAGAGTCAGTAGAGAGCCACACTGCAGCACAAAAGAATGCAAAAGATGAGCTTTGCTCCCTTTAAACCAAGTTTAGGAATCTCTTTTAGTTTTTGACACTCTGGGAATGAAAACAGGTTGGGACTCAGTCAGCAAATACAAGAGATATTTGAGATAAACCCTGCAGTAATTACATCTTCTTTGTAGTTTTCATTTTGTTCAAAAATGGCACCAAGTAAAAAAATATGAAAAATATAAAGAACCAGGCTGGAGCGTCAGAAGGGAGTTATGTGCTTGATGTTTGCAGGCATGTGGTGTTTTTCTTTTCTCAGATTATGGAAGCACATCACGTATCACTCAGCTGGAAGGGAGATGAGAGAATTTTACGCAGAGTCAGGCCCCACTATGTGGTCCTCAGTGCTAACACAAGAGGCTGTCCACAAAACTCCTGCGTTCAGTGCTTAATGCTGTATGAGAGTTATCTACGACAAAACACAACGGTACCCTGAAGCTCACCAAGGAGTTTGACTCCTAAATCATTAAAAAAGTTGATACAGCTGTGCTTACCTGAGTAAGTGCTGTGCATAGAGCAAAAATCCAAAGTGCCACCAGGTTGTCATTAAGCCAGTCCTTTACCCGCTCGTAACATGGCTGCGGAAACACAAACACACACACAAGCACAGAGTATGAACAAACTTCACCAAATAAATCTGGTCAATGCTATTTACCCGTCACCTTACTTGACAGAGCCTTAAAGGTGTGGATTATTTGTTTAACCCTCTGGAGGCAGGCGTTGCAGATTTGCAACATTAAAACCTACCTGCCTGGTTACTCCACATACTTATTTCATGAGCATTTTTTAACTCAGAAGTACCCCTGAAGGACTTAGTTGTTCATCCTTTTATCAAAACTTATTTTAAGTCTGAGAGGGTTAATCAGTTTGTAGTGGTTTCAAGAAGGAAGGAATGCCTTGCAGGCATAATTTAGGGCACAAAAAAGCCCACATCCCCCGTTTTAGCAGGCCAAGTCTGCAACATCACAGCTGAGCTTCAGACCATAGATATGAATACATAAACGACCCATTGGGCGCTGGAGAGCGGAACAGCGTCGCCGCCACATTGAATGGGTTTCCTCACTCTCCAAAGTCAATGCAGAGTGAACAAATATCTTTGTGCCGACTACGGTTGCAAAAACTATTGAAAAATAGATCACGTGGGATTACTAGTGACTTTTCTAGCCTACCGGATGGGATTTTATATTTAAATGAACTTAAAGTAATTTTGTTTAATTTTATTTATATTTTAATCATCATGACATACATTGTGTCTGATTTTGTGAAAAAGCTTGCTAAAATGTGTTTTTTAGTTGGGTAAGCACTGTAGGGGAAATCCACATTTCATATTCTCAATTTAACTTTAGTTGGATTCACAAGAAAAAGGACAACAAACTATTTCACACAAAGCTTTTCTTTCTCTTGCACTGCAGCAGAGGAGAGATTTAAAACTGGCCTGCAGTCACATAAATTCCAAGATTTCTATTCCTGCACATCTGGTTAACTCCTACAATTCTCTCTCAGGGTCGTAAATTGCACCAGTTGACTTGGTTTTGCCTTCTTTACCAATCGGAGAAGCAGGATGATATCAGAAACTGGTCTGTTTTACATCCACCCATCAAGACTGACTCTTACACAAGATATGGGTGGTCGTAAATCTTCTCTGGGGTTTTCTTCTGGAAGTTTCCAGACATTAGTCCTTATAAAACCCAGCTTAAACTAGCTAGGATGTCCGCTTCTGATTCCTGGATGTTAAACCAACAACAGCCTTCCTCATCATGAGTCCAGATAGGTGAGTCCATGAATGTTGAGTGACAGTGTGACATAGATCTGTCAGGCTTTTCAAATTCAACAGTTTCACCATCCATTTTCTATCACAAGCTAATGCAGGAAACAGGTGCAAGCAACTACTCAGAGAGACTGATTATAATAAGAAAAAACATAGAAAAATGTTTTTTCTGTCAAAACCACACCTTTAAACTATGATCATTCATGCAGAAAAATGAGTGATTTATGGCTGTTCTGGCCAAAATGAGAAAATAACACAATCTGATGCAGTATTGCAAGATTTTGCCATCAGCAAGTGCAGTATTGCCAGTATTGCAAAATTTCATAAGGTTTGCAGTACGTGTTTGGAATGGCTTTTCACTACTCCCATTTGGAATTTTAGATCAGTATCTGTAAAATTAACTGAGTTGTGGCCAATTCTATGTTTGCTAATACTCTAAAAGGTAATCAGCTGATGAGTACTTTTTGTGACTTTCCATAAAATCATGGATTGGCCACACGCACGCATACACACACACACACACACACACACACACACACACACACACACACACACACACACACACACACACACACACACACACACACACACATTCTTGTATTTGTACCCATGTTAGGACTTTGTATTGATTTCCATTAATTTTAGTGAGTCCACTATGCCTAACCCTTACCGCAAACCTAATCCTAACCAGTGTATTCCTAAAGTTATCTGTAACAAAAACTCAATTCACATCTTATCTGTAAAACACACGCCTAGGGAGTAATCCGTACTAGGACCGGGTTTTGGTCCTAACAAGGACTATCTGTCGTAAGAAGATTAGTAAATACCCCAAATTCGTTCTTCACAAGGGTACAAATGCAAGCAAACACACACACACACACACGCACACACGCACGCACGCACGCACGCACGCACGCACGCACGCACGCACACACACACACACACACACACACACACACACACACACCTTTCAGTGGCTGGTGATAATAAGAACTTCTCTCCAGAGTAAAGAAAGTGTGTTTTGGTAACAACATCCCTTGTGGTAGCATCCCACTCCTCACTCTCTGACCTCATGTCCTTCAGCAACAGTTTCTAAAATTTGAAGCACCTTCTTACAGTTCTAACCTCCATCCTTCAGTAAAAACAGAGATACTGTAAAAGCAGAAGCAGACCACATTAAAGGAATACATTTTCTGTGTTTTATGTGTATTCAATGCTTTCTGTTGGCCTTTTTGCACCTAATCTATCCTTTTAGCTTCATAATACATTCATCACTAATATATTTATACAAGTCTGAGAATAGGAGGCAAAACGTTCATTAATGTGATCATTATTTAAAAGAGAAATGGGGCAATGCTTGTAAGATCAAGTGATGAAAAGGACATTCATTATCAAAGCAAAGTAAGTAGCTTTAAGAGTAGCTGAGAGCAGAAATCAGAAATGATGTGGGTGACATTTGCTGTATAACTCAACAGACCTTTCACAGATGTGTGCCAAATTGTTGGATTATGATTAATACACTGGAGGAAAGCGTGTCTGATGTAGTGCAGGAATAAAGGAAAGTGTTATCATAACAGGCCACTGTGGTGTTCTATCTTAATGATTCATTTCTGTGATCATGCCTCCATTATTGTGCCACTTTCACATATCTGTAAATCAAGAGTCAGATCTTGGGAAACCAAACAAGCATCAGCCCTTCTTCACTGCAGCTCATAAAACATCAGAATACCAGAAAATGTTATATTTATTTATATAATGCAGCACAGTGAAAAATGCTTCTGGCCTGGATCAATATGGAGAGCCGTGGCTTATGTCTAAATTTGAGACAGGTTCAGTGTTATTTATTAAACTGCTGATCACCTATAAATATTCTGGACCTGAGAACTGCAACATAAATGATATAGATTCATTTTTATTGTTTGATGGTGGCTGCAATCCCCCATAAAACAGGTTTGTAAAGCTGTTATGCCAGTCTTAGATTAGTAACTGTGCACATTCATACTAGCGAGTTTCCACCCGGGAGTCGATCGTTTAATCTCTTTTATAGCTAATATGCAAGATCACATTCAATTCAATTCAATTCAAATTCAATGATACTTTATTAATCCCAGAGGGAAATTAGAGTTTCAGTACACACAATTCTGAGATCAAACATACATACATAGGCATAGACACATGACAAGAATTGGTGACTGTGGTCATTCGCAACCTGAGTCGCGCTACCTTCATAGAGATCAGAGGGTTTACATGAGGATTGAGTCAGGTGGAGGAAAAAAAGACACTTCAGAGTTACCCTCCACAAGGAGGGCAGCTTTGCTTGTGGAGATTTACCTCCATCCCCTGTCCAAACGGAGGTGACGAGCGCTGCTCATTCCGGCTGCATGCACTGATGTGAGGAGAGTCCCCAACCCTACCTCCCCACCTAGTGGACACTTATGTTGTGTAATGTCTGAAGTCTGTTGCATTTCTGTCTGAGGTGTTTTTTGGGTTAGATGGCACAGTGACTCCTGGAAACGGTTCCACGGCCTTCACCGGTCACAGTCCCGCCCAGGCTGGGATAGGGAGACAGAGTTGCCATGGCGATGGCAGCATTCCACATTTCTTCTAAGGGGGAGTAATCACTTCAGCCTCACAGGCTCAAGGGCACCAGATTCAGATAAAAACTTGTTTTGGGGCCAGACAGAGATAATTTCCTCTCTGTCTTAATGTTCTGTTGGTCTCCAACCCCTCTAGATCCAATAATGGCGTAAATTATTCCCAACTGTGCTGTCCTGTCAACTCGCTCTTTGATTCCATTCCATTCCATTTATTTGCTAAAGCACATTTAAAAACAGCATGTGAGCTGACCAAAGTGCTGTACAGGGGTAAAAACATATAAGGTTCAACGAATTATATAAAAGAATAAAACAGCTAGAGCATAGCACAAAGAACCAAACAAGAAAAGTCATGAGACACCATGAGACAGGCTGAGTGAAAAACCCGCAAAGCATCATCTGGATTGGTGTAAAATAGGGTGGAGGCCGGCAGTTCAGTGAAAGAAGCACAAAATCTATCAGCTGTAGCCGGGGTAATAACCTGTGTCTGGTGCAGCACCACAGGCCTTTTACCAAAGCTCACCGGACAATCTAAATCAAACAAAACTGGAAAATGATAAGAAATGACAGTTTCGTCAACAGACAAATTATTAACATTTATCCCACAAAACATCGCTAAATCTAAAATATGAGACTGGTTATAGGTAGGAACCGACACAACCTGCTTAAGACCAAAAGAATCAAGTGTATCAGTAAAATCTTTCACAAGGGGCTTAGCAGGACAGCAAACATGAACATTAAAATCACCCATAATCAGGACTCGTTCGTATTTTGTTGTTATTTCTGCCACAAGTTCTGACCATTCTTCAATGAAGTCCTTATTGAATTTGGGGGGGGGGGGGGGGGGGGGGGGGGGGGGGTTAAACAAGCACACAAAGGACTGGATGGGTATTACCCAGTTCGAAAGTAATCAGTTCAAAACTATTGATGATGGTGGGCAAGGATACCATCTTGCAGGGGATATTCACTTTAAGAATAGTCAGCAATCCTCCCCCATGGCTCGAAAGCCTGGGAGAGTTCAGCACCAAGCACCCAGGAGGAAAAAGTTCAGTTAGTAGAGCGAGTCGGAGCAGGAGAGAGCTGCAGGTCCAAAGTGGAGGCGGAAAGGTGTCCAGCGAAAGCGCGCAGGTTTGCGTGGTTGACTCCGCGTCTCCATAGACGCGGGTAAAAGGGGCGACGCGCTGGAGCTGCCTCCTCTGTAGACGAACCAAGGCAC